CATTAGAACAGACAGTACCCCATGCTTCATTAATACACACTTCAACTCTTCCTTCATGAGGACCACTACCATCAACCAATCTCACCTCACCATCAGTACAATTAGATTGCTGAACAGTTTCTGTAAGTACATTATACAGTTATCTAAAATATATATTTATACTAAAAACACCTTGACAAATTAAGCCAGCATCATTATGTGATAGGCAGTTATACAAAACTGGATTGCTGTGTGTACAGTTCAAAATATGTTCTTCTGACCCATTACAACCAAGATTTGTGATACCAAATGACAGCTGTCTCTCGGTATAGCAATTGTATGTTGGTATAGCACCTAATTATTAACAAGAATTAATATATACTGGTAATCTAAATGCATTAACCATATGAAGAGTATCCAAGTTGTCTACAAGTCACTGCAGCATCATTGAAGTCCCATGTTTGATCACACAGTGTAGTCCATGTTCTCTCAACACACAGTTCAACACGACCAGCATATGTCACTGATGATCCACTCAATCTTACATCACCATCATTACAGGATTCTATTATTATTAATTAAAGGTGAATAAGATGTTCATTTATAATACCTATACCTAAACATACAACACTTGCTGCATTAGTTATACCACAATAGAGAGTATTGTAACCTCCAAAGTAATGATTACAATCTAATAGAGAACTGTGAATTCTGGAACAATACATATCACCCATAACAAATGGAGCTTGCCCATATCCATAATAACTACCATGCACTGATACTGATCCTACAAGGAGTACAAATAATATAAAGGAGAAACCAAGATTAAAGCCTACCTGTCATTTGATGGCCAAGCTGCTTGCAAACAACATTAGCTTCGGTTGTACCCCAGAAATGATCACAAATAGTTCCCCACATTTGATTGTAACATATTTCAACTCTTCCTTCATATTTATTGGGACCACCAACTAATCTAACATCACCAGTTGTACATGAAGTATCAACAGTAGCATCATTGACTACAGTAGACAATTATAACTATATGTAACTTATTAATAAAACATTAGCAGCTTACTCTGACATGTCACAGAGGTAGGATAGTAGCAATTCTGTGCAGTATTATTAAATGGGCATTCCCAAATACTTGATTCATTTCCAGTACAGTTTAAATTATGAAAATGTATAGGTTCATTATAATAGTAGTAATAATAATCCAGAGTATGCAAAACACCTGCCAGTAAGGAAAGTAAATCTACGTAAAACACATATAAAGCAATATCTACCGTAACGTGAGAATCCTAATTGAGCACAAACTACACTAGCATCAGCATCATCAAAGCCAGTGTTACAGATAGTCCCCCAAACACCATTCACACACACATTAATTACACCAATAGAACTATATCCCAAACCTGAGAGTTTAATGTCACCATGAAGACACTTTTCTGTAAGAATGCGATTAAGCTTTAAGCACAACTTATATACATGTATTACCATGACAAGTTAATCCTGAATATTTATAGTTATTAGAGAAATAACTTCTGTAACAACTAATAGCTCTTTTTGAGCAATTCAACAGAGAGCCCATGATGCTAGAGCAGTAGAACTCAAAGGGAAATAATGGAACTCCTGGTAAATCCAAAAATGAACTAGAATGTCCTGTAGCACCTACAATAAACATTTTTGAGATTAAATCATAACAATTAATTTGTGCTTGCTTTGTGAATAACCCATTGAGTTACAAACAGTTCCAGTGTAATAATAATTATCATAATTATCAGCACATATTCCAAACCAAACATGATTGTAACACAATTCAACTCTTCCTTCCATTTTGCTTGTTCTATTTGATAAGCGTATTTGACCATTAGGACAATCAGAATACTCCACAGCAAAACCTGTGTTTTTTTAATGTAATAATAATAATACTTGTAAAAGATACCATGACAAGCAACTGATACATCAGAGTATATAGAGCAAGATTTTTGTCCTTGTGTACTTGAGGGACAATCCCATATACTCTCTTCATTACCAGTACAATTAAGATTAACAATGTGAAGGGGAATATCAGAATCATAACGGAGTCTTCCCATTGAAATTGACCCTACCAATCAACATTATATTAAGAAACTATAAGTACACATACCTAATGCAGTGTATCCTAACTGTCTACAGACAACTTGAGCATCATTGTCAGTAAAATGATGATAGCATATACTACCCCAAGTACCATCAACACAAACTTCAACACGTCCAATATCTTCAGAATAAGAATCATAAGGTATCAGTCTAACACTACCTTCAGTACAATCTAATAATGCAGAATAGAATAATAATCAAAATTAATAGGCCCAAATTGGTCTATGGTCATACTGTGGCATCTGACTGCTGCAGTGTGTCTAGCATCACACCTAGATAACTTAGTGTAATGTGTTAGACTGCATTGCTTAATACTAGTAGCAGATTGAGAGCAGCTCATATCAGCTACCAGCAAAACATCTACACTAGAGGACTCAGCAAGATAAGTCATTCCATTGCCTTATAAGAAATAATTGTGGCAAAGATAATAAGGATTGTGATATTTTAAACTAACCAGTGTTATATCCAAGGTCTCTACAAATGATGTTAGCATCCACATCATAATTATAATTGTCCCTATAGCAAAATGCACCCCAGACCTTATTAAGACATATTTGAACTTTTCCTTCTCTTGCAGTTGCTCCATCCACCAAGCGAACTGTATAATCTGTACAGTTATCATTTACAACACTCATACCTACATATATTTTTGATAACATAAGCCATATCTAACATAAACTAACTTTGGCAAATAAGACCAGCATCTTGACGGCTGTAGCAAGATCCAGTAGTTGAGTAGGAACAGTTAAGCAGTGTACTTTCATTACCACTACAATTCACACTGTAAAAATGAAAAGGTAGCCAAACTTCTGTAAAATATGAGGCTTTAGCTATAGCTCCTATAGCATTGTTAACACAATTAAGGAAAGGATTACGGTAATATTTACCATAAGGAGAGTATCCCAGCTGTCTACATACCACACTGGCATCATTATTATCCCAACCATTGTCACAAATGGTGCCCCAAGTTCCATTAATACATACTTCAACTCGACCAAATTCTTTGTATTTATCATCACCTTCTAATTGAATAGCCCCCTCAATACAAGGAGCTAAATCATACTTAGAAAAAACAGATGTAGGTTATACTTACATTCACATTCAACTCCAGCATGGTATGAATAGTAACAGAAAGAAGTGTAATAGCTACAGTTCAGGAGAGTGGCTTCACTTCCACTACAGATAAAATATGATGAATGTACAGGACCGAAACCTTTTCCAATATTAACAGTATCAGCTCCTAAAGATTAGTAGCAATATAATAAATATAGCCGCAACTAACCAATAGAATTAAACCCTAATTGTCTACACACAACTTGAGCCTCACGAGTATCCCATCCTCTAGGACATATTGATTTCCAAACTCCTCCATAGCATATCTCAACTAAACCAACATACTGGGACTGACCACCTGTTAATCTAACATGACCAGTAGTGCAGTTGCTAGTTGTACTGAGTGCTATTAAATTCAATATATTCATGCATCATATTAGAAGGCAGAATGCTGATACCTGTACATTGTACATTTGCATCTTCATGTTGACTACAGCTGTACTGCTGAACAAGATTATGAGGGCAGTCAAACACATTTTCTTCAGTTCCATTGCAATGTAAATCAACAATGTGAAATGATTTGAGCCTTTCTGTGTATGAACTATATCTAGCTATAGCCCCTATTGTCTTTGATGATGTACAAATAAGGCTACATTATAGATTACCTTGTCCAGAAAAACCAACTTGTCTACATACAACACTAGCATCATTGTCATCCCAATAATCATCACATATAGTACCCCAGGTCTTATTAACACATAGCTCCACTCTTCCCACCAATGGATCAGAACCACCAACTAGTCTAATGTCCCCATTTTCACAAGGAGCTGTATAATTAATTATAGATCATAATTCAATCTATTAAAGCAGGCAACCCCTTACTTTCACACCTCACACCAGCATCATACTCATGAGTCACATCCGGAATGTACTGTGGTCGTAAGGTGCAGTCAAACAATGAAGTCTCTAATGAATAGCAGTATGTATACATTAATATTGGACCACTTCCTTCACCAAATTTTGTATTATAAACATACAAGTCCATAGCACCTACAGAATTCAAATAAAATATATACATAACTGTGCCAATACATACCAGGAGAGGTAAAACCTAATGCATTGCATACTGTCTGAGCAAAGTATTCTCTGTAGTAATTATAGTAAGAGTGAGAGTTGTAAACAGTTCCCCATGCATTATTAATGCAGACTTCAACTCTTCCTTCATATTCTGTGCTACCACCAACCAATCTAATATCACCATCAGTACAATTAGAATAGGTTGAAACACCATGAGCTGTAAATATTAGTTCATTCATTAACAACTTTAGTACATATATTTAGTCTACCTGGACAAACAACATTAGCATCAGCCCAATTAGATGAACAAACAGGAGCATTAGCATCAACTAGACAGTCAAAGATGTTTTCTTCAGTTCCATTACAATTTAAACCAGTTAAAAAAGTTATTCCATGTATTTCATTATTCCAGGAAGAAGGAACAGCAATTGAACCTATAATGCATTATTATCATTGTGAAGTACATTGTATTTGCTCTTTGTACAATGATCACAAGATTGTCACATTGCAACATAATTTACCATAAGGAGAGAATCCTAGCTGCCTACAGACAACACTAGCATCATTATTATCCCAATAGCTATCTCTGCAGATAGTCCCCCATATTCCTTCAACACAAACTTCAACACGACCATAATAGTATCCACCATCAGCTAGACGTATGTCACCAGATGTACAATTTACTAATGACACAACAGCATAACATAAACATAAAACTTTACTAAACTAACCTTCACATTTTAATTCAATGGCATTGTTAGTACAATACTGAATACTAGAATGAAGTCCAGGACTACAAGACAACAGTGTTGCTTCATTACCCTGACAATCGAAATAAGAATAAATGATAGGAAACATTCCATCAGTGATCCTTCTGGAGAAAGAATCACCTACAAAAGTTAATTTTATTTCGGCTTACACTTTTATCATTAAAACAAACCATAGCTGTAGTATCCCAATTGAAAGCAAGCAACATCAGTTTCAATGTTATTCCAATTGTTATTACTACAGACAGTTCCCCAGATTCCATTACTACACACATGAAGTACTCCTTGGTTAGGTGTAGACCCACCATACAGTCTAATATCACCATCTGTACAGTTAGCTGGGATATAATCATCTAAATGGTATAAAATGAAATAATGCATTATATCATTATAGTATACATACAATTGAATAGACAAAAGAGAGCCACTGCTCCATTATAATTGGGACATGATCCTGTAGTATTATACTGACAGTCAAATAAGCTACTCTCATTTCCAAAGCACTGAACATTGTAAAACTGATATGGATAGTTATAATTGTTCCATACATTTCTAGCACTTTTAGCACCTATATGAATACACTAATAACAGGACTAAACATATTTAATAAAAAATTTACCATAAGTTGAGTATCCAATGCTGGAACAGACAACACTAGCTAGATTATTATCAATGACAGTATTACCATATCCACACACCATAACCCATGAACCATTGACACAGACTCTTACATTACCATGACGACTGGAAGGGCCACCAAATAGCTCTATTTCATTGTTAATACAAGAATCTATGACAATAGGACAAATAGGATCATGTAAAATTCTATTGGGCTATGTGTTTTCTCACTTTCACATTTGATACTCAATTCTTGATAATTGTTGCACCCACTATACCACCAAATATTATAGTGTGGATACTTTCTTTGGTAACAGTTACTTAGATTTGATTGAAAAGCACCACAAGACAGATCATAAATCAAAATTGAATTATTACTCACACCAAAGTTTGAGTTTGGAAGTGCTATACCACCTACACAACAATATAACTAAAAAAGTATGTGTCAATGTTACCTTGATATCCTAATTCATGGCATAAAGTGTAAACATTTCTTTCATTAGATGAAGACCCACTACAGACTGAACCCCAAACTCCATTCTCACACACTTCAACTCTTCCTTCATACACTGTCATGCCATCAGCTAATCTCACTTCACCAGTAGTACAAGTAGAATACTTCACATCAATCACTAAAAAAGGAGTGTCAATGAAGTTTCAAGGATTATACTGTCTCACATTGACAGAAAACAGCAGCATCATCATAATGAGAACAAGAATATCCATTGAGTCCATTCATAGGACAGTCCCAAAGTGAAGACTCTGTCCCAGTACAGTTAAGATCATTAATGTGAATATACCATGTTCCTTCAGTATAGGCGTCTTTTATGGCAGAAGCAC